GGCGGCGGCGGCGGCGCGGGGCCCCGCCATGGCCCACTTCGAGACGCAGTACCAGCGCCTGGAGAGCTCCTCCACCGAGTCTCCCCCCGGCGGCGGCGACCTGCTCGTCCACGTCCCCGAGGGCGCCAAGTGTGAGCGGCGGCACCGGCACCGGGGGTTGGGGCCTGGCCGGCGGCGGGGGGGGGGCGGCGGCCTGAATCTGCGCCTGAGGGGAGCTAGGGAGCGGGGTGGCGGAGGAGGCCTTGGGGACCGGCGGTGTCCGGGCTGCGGGAGGCAGATCCGGGCTGGTCCAGGTGGCCGGGGATGGGGGGGAGCAGCCAGGGACGGAGGGGAACGGCTGGGCACCGAGGGGAGCCGGGATGGGGACTGCGGGGCCGGTTTGGGGCCTCGGGGGGCCCGGGACAGGGCGCGAAGAGGTGGGGTTGTGCCTGTCGCAGCAGCAAGGCTGGGTGTGCTGGAGGGTCCCTCACCCTGCGCTGCTTCTTCCTTCAGCTCCGTGGCATCACATCGAGAACCTGGACCTCTTCTTCTCTCGCATATCCTTTCACAAGGCAGGGTTCAGGCGAGGGATGCACCCCGCCGCCTCCTGGACTCCCTGTGCTGGTGGAAACGCTGGATTTGGTGTAACTCAGAGCTGGGGCAGCGTCTGCCCCTTCCCGGAGAACACCACAGGGCTCCAGAGGGGCTGGGGGATGGCAGAACCCCCATGCCTGTGGGGTGCTGTCACTCAACACTGAGGGAACAGACAGGTTCTTTCAGGGGTCCTTGGCAGAGTGATGACGGTACTGAGTTGTGGTTACAATTAAAGCTTTATTTTCTTCACGGGATTTTATTATTAGGGTAGTGTAGCATTTATAATCAGAGTAGCATAGGATTTCTGTAAGCAGAATCAGTGTAGTACAATTTTATAAGTAGCATACTACAGAATTTTATAGCACGGCTTAGCTTATGGTTTCTAATCAACTGGAGTCTCTGCAGGTTGGGTCATATCTTAATACATAGTTTGCTGTATCAGTATAACAGTCATAATCTAGACTCAAAAATAATATAAAAGAATACAAGTCACTTGCTCAGTCCTTGGAGGAAGCAGACCATGGTGGGACCATGCCTGGCTACTGGGGCGTCCTGTGTCTCACTGTCCAGCAGCAGTTCTGGTCCGAGTTCCCACTTAGGACTTGTAACACCTTGATTTTGTGGACAGTGCTCTGGGTGCTGTTACACTTCCCTGTTCTGTGACAGGGTCATCACAGCCATCGGGTTGGCCAAGTGCATGGGACTCTTCAAGGCTGACACAGAAAAGAGTAATCAGCCTTGTGCCCAGGAATCTTGAGGCCGCTAGAGAAGGGAAGAAGAAATCTGGTTTGTCTGCTTGGCTCACAGGACCTTCAGGGCCTGATAATGAGGGAAAGCGAACTAATAGGTGACCCACACAGTCACAGAGAATGGCTGCCTGCCTTATACAGTGGCATGAGTTATGCTAACCACATTACGAGGGGTGAGGAGCAGGGGGTACCAGTCACAGATGCTAGGGGTATTAAATGCATTTTTGCCTGTCTCTGTGTTGTCCTGCCCTGCCCACCCTTGTGCGGCTGGAGGGCAGGCTGAGTTTCTGCTCTGTGCTGGGACAGAGCCCCCTCTGGGTGTTGGGTGGGGGAAGAAAGGAGCTTGAATGGAGCCAAGTCCACTTACCCCAGCTGTGCTTTACCTGGGCAGAGCGTGTTTCCCTGCAGTGGAGAACCAGCTTGCTGATGAGTAGGGGTGGGAGGGGTTTTCCATTGGTGGGGGAGGGAGACTTGGCTGGGGAGCTGTGAATGCTGGTGGGACAAAAGGCTCTCCATCCTCTGTCAGAGAGGAGTCTCCAGACTGTTTTCCTTGACTGTAGCTTTCACGTCTATAACCTGCATCAGAAAAATGGCTTCACCTGCATGCTCATTGGAGAGATCTTTGAGCTCATGTAAGTGCAGGTTCCCCCTCTGCTGTGGCTGTGACAGCTGCTGGTGAGCAGCCACAGGAGTCGACTGAGTGCCCTGCAGCTGGGTGGACAGGAGGGTTCCCAGTTGTCTTGTCTCCCCTTTGTTAGGATTTGCCATGCCCCAAACCTGCATTCCACTCTGAAGAACTGGTGCCCTTGAACTTTCCTGCTGCCATGACTGTGGGAATGCATCTCCATGACACATGACCCTGCCTGCTTCACGTTTTGGGGGGCAGAAGGGTGGTTCCCTCACGCCTGCTCCCTTTTTTCACAGGCAGTTCATCTTTGTGGTGGCATTCACCACCTTTCTTATCAGCTGTGTTGATTATGACATCCTCTTTGCCAACAAAGCAGTAAATCACAGCCAGCATCCCAGTGAGCCCATTAAGGTGACTCTGCCAGATGCCTTCCTGCCTCCAAATGTCTGCAGTGCAAGGTAAGGGCAGCGGAGGGCATGTTAGCCACCTCTCTTGCTTTCTCAGGTACTCAGGGTGCCTGCCTGCGCCTGTCTCCCACTACTTGCTTCTTCTTGCTTGCAGAATCCAGGCAAACAGCTTCCTCATCTGCATCCTGGTGATAGCTGGGGTTTTCTGGATCCATCGACTCGTCAAATTTATCTACAACATTTGCTGCTACTGGGAGATTCACTCTTTCTACATCAATGCCCTCAAAATCCCGATGGTAAGTAGCTGGGCCAAGGGCCATGTGCGGGGCCACTAAGGGATGCAGGAGGCATTTGCTGAGTGGCGAGAAGCAGCTCACCTTCACTCCTCTTTGGAGCCAGCTTCTCTGGGAGATCTGTACCTAGCGCTCTTCCCTCTGCTCCATAAGGATAGATCTCCTTTCAGCCTCTTCTCCAGCAGCCAATTTATTCCGTGTTAACCCCTCCCTGCCCAGCCTGCCTCTCTGCCTGCTGGCACACACCTCTGCCATCTGCCACCCAATATGTTTAGTCTGTGATGGCCTTTTCTGTGATACCTTTCAACAGAGAAGCCATAAGCGAGGATATCTCCTACCTCCCTGGGATGTGGACAACATCATCTTCCTTGTTTACTGGGGGGGAAACTGAGGCATGGAGGTACCTAGTTGGCAAAGACCACACTGGAGATCAGTGTGTCAAAGATGGGGTTTGAGGCTTGCACATATATCCCAGTCCAGGGTCCTTGCTCTGATGGACAACATCAAAAGGTGTGTGCACATCCTTTGAGGAGAGACCGTGTCTTGAGAGGTGGGGTGAGCCAGGACGCTTGGTTTGTCCCCAGCTTTTCCACAGGCTCCCTGTAGGACACTGCTTAAGTCCCTTCCCCTGTTTGTGCCTCCCTACTGACTCCAAATGGCAGCTCTGGGAGGACCCATGGGAGCCTGGAGCTGTGTTCGTGCCTCCAAGGCAGCTGGCATGTGAGTGGCTGGGAAATAGTCATCTGCGCTAATCTAGGGATAAAGGGCACTGGGGCAAGGTATGGGTTTTGCTTGCTGCAGGCTGAAGTGGTGCAGGGAGGTGCCTCGTGTCCTGGTGTTCCATGTGCTTAGTCAGCACCCCGAGGCACGTGCTGGGCTCTGCTGTTTGAGTGGGCTCAGCCCAGCTTCTGCCCCTCGACGCATCCTGCCCCTAACCTCGCTGCTTGCCCTCTTCCAGTCCACCCTGCCATACTACACCTGGCAGGAGGTGCAGGCCCGCATCGTGCAGATCCAGAAGGAGCACCAGATCTGCATCCACAAGAAGGAGCTGACAGAGCTGGACATCTACCACCGCATCCTCCGCTTCAAGAACTACATGGTGGCCATGGTGAACAAGTCGCTGCTGCCTATCCGTTTCCGCCTGCCCCTGCTGGGAGACACTGTCTTCTACACACGTGGGCTCAAGTACAACTTTGAGCTCATCTTCTTCTGGGGGCCTGGCTCCCTCTTTGAGAATGAGTGGAGCCTGAAGGCTGAGTACAAACGGGCCGGGAACCGCCTGGAGCTGGCTGAGAAGCTCAGCACTCGCATCCTCTGGATTGGCATTGCTAACTTCCTCCTCTGCCCCCTCATCCTCATCTGGCAGATCCTCTACGCCTTCTTCAGCTACACGGAGATCCTGAAACGGGAGCCGGGCAGCCTGGGTGCCCGCTGCTGGTCTCTCTACGGCCGCTGTTACCTCCGTCACTTCAATGAGCTGGACCATGAACTGCACTCACGCCTCAGCAAGGGGTACAAACCAGCTTCCAAGTACATGAACTGCTTTATCTCCCCGCTCCTCACCATCGTGGCCAAGAACGTGGCCTTCTTTGCTGGCTCCATCCTGGCTGTGCTCATCGCTCTCACCATCTATGATGAGGATGTGCTGGCGGTCGAGCATGTCCTGACCACGGTCACCCTGCTCGGGGTGGGCATCACAGTGTGCAGGTGAGGTGGGTCTGTGCTGCGTCTGTGCTCCTGACAGTGCTCTGGGGAGCAGTGGGGCTGACAACCATCCATGCAAGCATGCTCTTTGGTTGCAAGTGGATGTGAATCTGCCTGAGTGAAGGGCACAGCTGGGTAGAGTCAGGGGCCCACAGGAGAAGGGGTGGTCTTGGGTGCAGTGGTTGTATGATATGATTGGTGTTGCTGGAGCTATAAAGCAACACCCCAGGGCTGGCGGGAAGGTTTGGCTTAGGTGTGAAGGCTACAGGTGGAGCTGTGATATGGCCGGTCACCCTGCCCTCCCATGATGAGATCACCCAGGAACTGAGGTCTGATGCTGTGATGTTTCCCTGTCCTGTCCTACAGGTCTTTCATCCCCGACCAGCACCTGGTGTTTTGCCCAGAGCAACTGCTGCGCGTCATCCTGGCG